TCCACAGAAAGCTATGGAAGGAGAGGCAATCTTGTAGACCTTGAACTCATCAACATTCTTAATAATGACAGAACCTCTCTTGAAGTCCAGCTGAGCTCCTGCTGTTGCCAAGAATAGAGTACCTAGAAGAAGTGGCACCTCCCTGGAATATGTTTTTTCCATGACCACAAAGTCTGTTGGAACTAGGCATTCTCCAATCTTCACAGGATAGTCCTTCGCCATGCCTAAAGGTTTTGTGGAAGTGTTGTCCACAAAGATGATGGAGGTCCTGGATGGCACCAGCTTCTTGATCCCCAGAGTTTGGCTAAAGATGGAGGGACATAACATTGACAGTTGATACTGAGTCACATAGGGCTTTGACATTGTCAAGCATCTCCAGCTCACAAGTGATGAGGAACTTCCCTGGGTTTGGGAGTTTTGGCAATGACTTCATCATCTTGCTTCTTTTCATGTCAGCCCCCACATTCTCAAGGATTGGTTCCACCACTTCCAGCTTGTCAAAAACTTCTTTCAGGAACCTGATTTGATGTTTCACCTCCATCAGAGTGGTACCATGTGGGAGTTGTATTCCAGCATCTTCTATGTCTTGTTTGAACTTTGTGTACATCTCCATTCTAGCTTTGGTGAAGTGCATTGTGGGGTAGGAGAATGGTGGTTTACAGACTGGAGCTGAGAGTTCTTTACCCTTTGCAATAGTGCTTGAAGAATTACCCACTTGATTATGGTAAAGTTCCTTAGATTCCTGAGGAGTGTTGTGAGACAGAACCATCAAGGCATGGTGTGTCTCTAGTTCCTCTTCTTCAGCATCAGGTTGTTCTGGTGTGGGGGTCTCTTCTGTAGCGGTTGGGGTTTCCTCAGCCCCCTCTTTCTGAGCAGCTTCCAGTGCTGCTCGTTCCTGTTCTTCTTCTCTGTTCAATTGTTCATCAAAGCCACAGAGGAATGTCCCTACAACTTCCTGAGCTTCTTCATCACTGATGTTTCTTCTTCTGGATTCTCCTCCATACTCAACCCTCATCCTGTTTATGTGCATCAACATTTCTTCGATCATGATGCCTAGCTCTTCCAATGAAGCATCTTCATCAGTGAATTTCTCTTCTGCTTCCTCTGCCTCTTCAGTAAGTAAGTGGCAGTATTCCTGAGGTTTGTGTGCAGCTTGTTGAGGAAGAGTGTACTGAAGTCTTGGTGTGTGTGCCTCATCTTGGCTGTTCTCTAAGAGATGTATCCTTGAGTCTAGATCCTCAAATTTGGCATGAAGGTCATCATGAACATAAGCAATCTTGTTGGTCAGCTCAGAAAATCTGTTGTTCTTCTCCATGTTTCCAATGGTTTGAAGGTTGATGTTGACCATGATCATGCTCCTAATGTCATCTGATCCAGATGGAGGAATGTAGGGTTGGTCTTGAGTGTGTGAAGGAGTGTAGCTCTCTTCAAAGTAGTGCAGAGGTGAAGGCTCTTGGCAGAAGTTGCTGTAGGTAGTGTCTTCAAAGTGCACCATCTTGAAGTGTTGTTGCAACTCACCTGAAATAAAAATACTTGAAAACAGAGTAAGTAACTAAAGAGAAGTAAAAACTTGATCTTAAAGATTCTACAAACTCTAATGATTCAAACTGATTCCCAAGCAACGGCGCCAGATTGATACACAGGTTTTTGAGGCTCTTGAATGTTTCAATCACCCTTACACTTGTGCTAGTCAGTTGTAGTGTAGTATGGGTTTTATGTCAATCCAATGGGAGGAGTTGAAAACAGAAGAGTTGAGAGTAAAATCTCTAAGTCAAACAAGCAGAGAATTGGTTTTGTTTCCTAAGCAACAGTTCTAGCAACCTAAGTGAAACAAGCGACAAAAGAAGTGAAAACAAAAGCAATCTAAGCAGTTATAAGCAAGAAAAACAGAGTAAAACAGAGCAAAACAGAGCAAATCCGAGATTCAAATAAGAGAAAGACAAGTCTCTAGATGTGGTTATTGACTTTGGGGAATTTCAGGCATTAACTAAGGCTGTTTCAAACTATATTGATCAAGCAAGCAAGCAAGCAATGGTGATTCCTAGACATAGAGTTCACAATTAAGCTAGTTAGATCCAATCTCTTGGCAAATAACCCTTTGCTAAACATTCTAACAAGAACTAACTCTCATTAGTGCTAAAACATCAAGCAATCATGATTAAACAACTCTATTCAAGTCAAAATGCTCTTCAAACAGTCAATCTCTTGAGCCAAGTCCAGCAAATCCTCTATTAAACATGATCATCATTTCATCAAACACTTGGTGGACATAAGAAAAAGCTAACAACTTAGACAAATTTGATCAAGACTAATCTAGCATGAATAACAGATTAATGGAGAGGAACCCATAGAATGAAGAACATAACAAGCCTTAATCAAGCCTTAGATTCTCCTAATCTATCACATCTAGAAACCCTAAGATAACTACTCACTCATAATCATGTTTAACACCAAATCACAAAGGGAAAGGGTGATAATCATGATCAAAGGAAAGATTAAAGAAAGACTAAAGCAAATACTTGATTATATTAAACAAAGCAAAGAAATTGTCTTACAAACTTAAAAGAAAAGCTCAAGAACAGTATTTTGACATGACTTGTTGAAAATCTGGAAAAAGAGGCTATTTATAGCCTAGAAAGAAAAACCCTAGAGTAATGGCAAAGTTGTAATTAAAAACAGGTTCGGGATGGGTCAGTATCGGTCAGTCGTGTCGATCTCCAGTGACCGAAATGGATCTCTATCGGTCTTCAGTGATCGACGCAAATGACCAAATTAATCCGATGTGTTTGTGTCGATCACACTTGACCGATACTGGTAACCGAAATGCTCCGTATCGGTCACTCTTGACCGAAACTCTCCGTGCTCTGATCGAAAACTTCTGCAGAGATCTTCTGCTGCGATCCTTCTTGCTCCCTTTTGCCCAGCTAGCATCTTGCATCATTCCCAAAACTCCTCCAAGCTCTTTTAAGCTCCAAAAGCACCTAAAAACATCCAAAATGCAAAGAAAATGCAAACTATACTCTAAATGCAACCTAAGTCTAAAAGAAGAAGAAAATAGGACAAAAGCAAAGGGAAAACATGCAAAAATAGATCAAAATATGTACTAAATGCAGCCCTAAATGGTGTAAATACAAGAGATATCAAGGTCTTAACAGGTTCAAACATTGCGGTTTCGGCTGCGGATGCGATAATTTACAGAAGCGGCTGGTTGCAGTTAGTAGTGTTACTTAACAGTTTGCACAAAGAGTATAGCGGTTGAAAACAAGTGCGTTTACGAGATATTTTTGACTTGTTAACACAATATATTTTAAACAATAAATTAACAATATAGACATTTTATATATTTTTTAAACATTAAAAACATATTATTATGAGAAAATATAAAATAATTAGTTCAAGATAATAATAATAAAACCAAAAACATATTGTTTGTATAATATTTACATTTAATTTCTTAATTATTTTTTAATTTATATGAAATTATGATTTTTACAGGAAAAATATATTTTTTTGCAAAGATTAAAATTATATTAAGAGAATAGTTAATAAATATCCATTATATATATATATGTATATATATATATTAGTGATGAAAAGAAATTTTATTAAACTTTTTATAAATATAAAATATGATGAATAGTTAACGGATATCAGTTTTAGACAATAAAAACAATTTAATAAATTTGCCGATTGTAGCGAGAGAACTAATCAAGCTTTAAGTGAAGATAATACTGAAGGAGTAAGTGAGGATGATGAGTTTGAAATTGAGGAAACATAAAGGTGAATGGATTTGATCTAGTAGAAAAACCAAGTGACTTCAGTGTAAAAGAGGTTGATCAACTTTTAAAGCCGCTTCTAGTAAAAGTACAATCCTACAAGATGTTTTGCATGAGACAAAAACTGCCAAAAATGAATAAGACTCACAAAAATCATCAGTATTGGTTTTTTTAGCATAGCAATAGTTTCTAAACCACTTTCTTCACAACATGAAAATTTACTCTTCTTATTCGAGTTATTTGGATAAATATTTCTAACTTAGGGTGTCCACCAACATAATTTTGCATGTGTCATGCAAGGGCAACCGAGATTAGATTATCCTGTAAGTTTTTTATTCTATTCTCTTGTTAAAATTCCTTTCTGTACTTTGTGCCACATCATCGAAGACATCGCTAAAAGCTCATATTCTTCCATTGTAGATATGATATTAGTTGTTCAATATTTTTAGGGTGTAGGCTTTTGGTGCACCAATATTACTTATATTCATTTCTACTAATGGATAGATAGAAACAGAAATCTATATTGTATCTTGATTTTTTATTTAACCTTGTCGTAAGATTAAGCAGTACATTGTGTTTTCTACATGACATTAAGGATGATGCCTATTGATGAATTGTACAAAGATAATGTAAAAGGAATAAGGGCGATGTGCATTGAGCTTGTCGCTAACCAGTTTTTTCGCAAGGTGTTTACTCTAAGCCTAATATTAGCTTCCGATGCAATTAAATTGTAAAGGCTTAATTCTATATAAAAAATATCTCCTATAAATTTTCAAAAATGTTACCAAGGAATATGCATGTAAGGAAATGGTGCAACAGCATCTCTGATCTCGTCGTACTGATTTTGCTTAAAATAGATTATGCCTCAGTTCTTCTCTTAGTAGTTACCTCATCCATTCATCTGCATTTTCTTTAATTGTCTAATTTTTTCTAAATTTAGATATCTGTATACTTTTCAGATGGTTTAAGTTCTTGTAGCAACATCAATCTGAGAGCTGCTGCTGGTGTGGAAGATAATACATTGTTATAACTGCTGGAAGCTTCATGCAGAAGAGCTACAGCGCCTCCTGCTCCATCTGAAGGTCTCTGTCTAATTGACATTAGTTAAACTGACTTTGACCCTCAAACTTTTCTCATTTCTTGAGAATGGCATTTTATACATTTGACCCCCTTGTCGTTAAAAAAAGCTACATTAATCTTTATTAGTATCTCGTTCATTTATGGCTGCAGATATATTATTAGCCTTGATAATGATTTTATTGTTTATGTTCAATTATCACGAGCATTCTCATATTGGAAGTACATGAGTATGTGTTGTAGGTTCTATTTACATGCCATATATGATAAAATATGTCAAAAATCCATGACATAATCTACAGAGAGATGAAACAAACAATTGTAAAATTCATACATTTGTGTATCATGTTTGTTGCATATGCATTATATGCTATAACACAAGTCCAATTTTCATCTACTTCAGTTCCATAGGTAAAATGTCCATACATCAATTGATTCTCAATTTGTTTTATACAGCACAAATCCGACCTCTTCTCTCTTCTTACTACATGTTAATGCTCTCGCTTGAAACTCCTTTAGATGACCTCCCATCAGTTTCGCTCACATATGTTGAGTAGAAGTCATCGTCATCCCCCTCCCTCTCCTTCAACTCCTCAAGCATCTCCACAGCCTCTCTTATATCCAACCTTTTCTCAACGTCTGGTTCACAACAGCTCAATCCGATCTTCAAGAGTCTGAGAATCTGTCCTTCACAATGGTTTGTCTTTCCCATCTCCTTATCAAACAAATTTGATGACCATACCCCTTTGAAACTCAACTTCACCCAACTTGCTAAATCCTCCTCACTCTTGTTACCTCCTTGCACGAAATTGGATGGGTATTTTCCTGTTAAGATCTCCAAGATGAGTATGCCAAGTCCCCATACATCGGTTTTCTTGGTTACACGCCGGTGTTGCACATACTCTGGTGATTTATATGCCACCATGTGCTCTTGTGCCTTTTCTTGGTTGATCACCGGGATTAAGCCATAGTCTGTGAGAAGTGGTTCAAATGTTTTTGTGAGAAGAACGTTGGAGGATTTGAGATGACCATGTGGAGCCATTAGGCTAGGTAGATCTTGGTGGAGAGACGATAGCCCCCTCGCAACTCCTTTCACAATCTTCAATCTTGTTGGCCAATCTAAATTTGGTGTTCCTAACGACTGATTACCTAATAATACACCAACCATTAGGACATTATTCAAAAATTTTGAATAGGTTAAAGAGTATCAAAAACTTACCATGAAGATTTACAGCCAAGCTTCCTCTCTCAGCAAAATCACATACCATTAGCTTTTCCTCCTTTCTATAGTAATAAGCAACAATAGAAAGCAAATTCTTGTGCTTTAATCTCCCAAGTCTTTTCATGTGCTCTTGAAATTCATCTCTCCCAGCATTGTTCATTTGCTTGAATCTTTTTACCACCATTAATACTCCACTTGATAGCACTGCTTTATAGGATGCCCCAAAACATCCACTTCCAAGTATCTCAGCCGAAGCCTTTAATAGATCTTGCAAGTCAAATTTTTCCCCATCATCCCTCAAGAATGAAAGTTTTGTGTTCTCCACTCCAGCTGCTGGAGCCATCCCCTTACTGGTGCTTGATCCATTCTGATGGCTAGATTGTTGCCGTTCTCTATGGCTTTGGCCCGGTTCTCGGATTCCGGTTTTCTTCTGTAAACTTGTTGGTATGGTTTTTGCTTCCAAAAGTGGTTGTTTATTCCTATAGTTTCGATTAAGTAAGATGATTACTCCAATGATTATGACTACTGTAAGCGCAGTGACTAATGCAGTTATAACAAGAGGTGTCCTTGATGATGATTTGGGACGAGCCTCAAGTTGTGCTGGAGGAAGTTCATTAATATGAGAATCACAAGCTGTTTCAAGCGGTTTTCCACATAAGCCTTTGTTACCTTCAAACACCTTTGGATCCATCATGCTGAAACTCTCAGGGATTAAACCCGTTAATGCATTGTTTGACAGGTTTAAAATGTGCAGCTTTTGTTCAAACTCTGGTATTTCTCCCGTGAATTGGTTCCCTTCGAGTCTCAGTTCTAAAAGCTTGGGCAATTTGGCCATGGATATTGGAATTTCACCGATAAATTTGTTATGTGCTAAATAAACCTTTTTCAACCACCCCATACCTTCAAATGCATTTCCAGGTATCTCTCCTCCGAATTGATTGTTCGACAGATAAAGTGACTTCAGGGCAGAGAGTTTCTTGAACTCCGGGAATGGTCCTTCAAACTTATTGTTCATGAAGCTTAAAGTCCTCAAAGATGTCAAACTAGCCAATGAATCAATGTCTATAGAACCAGAAAGCTCCAAATTCTCCATCTGCAGACCCCATATAGAGCCTTTATTACACAAGACACCAGCCCAAGTGCATGGAGAATCTTTATCATTCCATGAGGCCAACGCGTTTGCGTTCCCAACAACTAGCGATTTCTTGAACTTTAGGATAGTCTCAGAATCCAAAAGGCCTTGAGTTGATGTGGAGAGGAGAAGGAGGAGAGATACTAGTGGTAACATCATGGCGTTGGATTGCTTAGGGAACGCGCCTGCATTAGAGGCGCGCACCCTCTTTGAGGAAAGAGGAGGAGGACAACGACGTAAAGAGACAATGTGATGTTACAACGTGAGTTGTAGGACACAGCAGAGAGACAAGAGAGATAAAAGAGATGAATGGTATAGAGAAGGCTTTGCATTAAAAACATTCTAATAATAGGTTTGTGGTTAAACTTAAATTGCTGACATGTAATGTCCTTTAAGATTACATCATAAATCATCAAAACTTAATTCTCTGTTTTATATTCTGTCTCATCCAATCGACATAACAAATTATCCCCTCATTTTCTATATTTGAAAATATTAAACCCAAACATGGTAGTTGCTCTTTTTAAATCAGGATTTGAACAATACAACAAGTTTGTTACAGTTTCAGATATGTTTCTTGTTATCTAGTCAGAACCAAAGAAGCTACCATTGTTAGTTCAACAAAACTAAGTGCAACTAGATGAAAAGTTCAAAAGTATTAAATAATTTGGTATTAAAATTTCCTAAGAAAAGATAAAACCTTTAAATTATAGTAATAAAAACTCTGGATGCAATATGGAAACAGTTGCAAATGATAAAGATATTCTATAAGGAGACAAGAAAAAAGAAGGTTTTTGTTGGCCTACATTTACTAAAATTAGCATATTCGAACGCGTTTCTCGCCAAATTCAATATAGTAGCATTTATATATAAACTTACTGAATATATGTTTGTTGCAGAACAAAAACCAGAAACCACACAGAAGGAAGTAGAAAATGGTGAAAAGCTACGAGAAAAAAGAAGGAAACATTACGTTAGCCATCGACAAAGACAAAGAGAGCCAAAATGCGTTGAAATGGACAGTCGAAAACCTTCTTAGCCAAGGCCAGACTCTTACTCTTCTTCATGTCAATTTACGACAACCCCCTTCTGTTTCTTATTCTGGTAATGGCATAATCTTAAACCCTTTTGTTTCAACATTTTCCAACTTCTTTTGTTTGAATCCTTATATTAATGTTGTTGTTATTGTTGTTTAATGCAGGGTCTAACCAGAATAAATCAGGATATGATGGCACAGAAATTTTTCTTCCATTTCGTTGCTACTGTGCTAGAAAAGATGTGCGCTTTCTATTCGATTTCTAACCTTTTTTTCAAACATTACAGTTCATATGATTGACTCTTTCTGTTCTGCAACAGATTAACTGCCAAGATGCGATTGTGGAGGACTTTAGTGTGGCCAAAGGAATACTTGAATATGTGCAACATAATTCAATCGAGACTCTGGTACTCGGTGCATCAAAGATGACTCTTTTAAGGTACTAAGACAAATGCTTTCTTGCATTTAACTGGATTATAACATATTGTATTGTGAGATCGATAACCATATCCAAATAATGGAAATAATCAAGATCAAAAAAAGATTAGTGTTTTCACTCTCATCAGCTTATCATACTGATATGCTTTTATTTGATAGAAGGCTCAAAGCAGCGGATGTTTCAAACACCGTCATGAAAAGGGCGCCAAGTTTCTGTACAGTATATGCAATCTCTAAAGGAAAGATATCATCTATGAGATCAGCTACATCTTCACTTCTGAATTCCACTCCCCGACAGCATGTATCCGCTCAAAGGAGCAATCTAAATGGTATATATGCCCAATTTTTTGTTCTACCATCACATAGATTTAAACTACTTTTTTCTTACTTTTTTGCTTTCATATCGCAGTTGAAAGGAGGCAAAGAACAATGCAAAGAACCCATGACGAGATTGAGATCAAGTATATTTGTTATCTATTATATACATATCTTATTATTTTTTTATAAGATAAGTTTTAACTTTCGGCAACCAACAATGGTAATGTTAACCAACAACACTCTAAATAGGTCTCCGTTTATGAGAAGAGGATACGAAGGAACTTATCAACCATCAATGACAGACTCAGACATATCATTTGTGGGTAGTGGAAGACCGAGCGTGGATCTAATGTTTCCTTCCTTTTCTGACAATGTGGATGTTCCTCGAGTCTCACTCAGCTCTGAGTATGATGAGAATCGACTTAGTTCTACTATATCAATCACATCAGATAAGCAGTCTATAGATCTTGGCTCTTCATATGCAGCATTCTCTTCAAGCTCACTTGAAAGTGGGAGACAATCATTTACACTATCTAGCCAAGTAAGCACACATTTACACTAAAGTATGCATAAGCAATACTCTTTTTGTTTCTTCCATTTATTGAACCTAAAACCGTACAGGATGAGATTGAAGCTGAGATGAGAAGACTGAAAATGGAGCTAAAGTATACAATGGACATGTATAATACTGCATGTAAGGAAGCAATTTCTGCAAAGAGGACGGTATGTTTTGAGTTTAGAACAATCAAAAACTAATTTCCATTCAGATTCTCACCCAACTTATAATCTGATTCATATCTTATCAGGCTAATGAGTTACACAAGTGGAAATTAGAAAAGGAACAGAAACTACAAGAGGTAAGACTCGCCAAGGAAGAAGCAATCGCGATGGCGGCGAGTGAGAAAGAAAAGAGCATAGCAGCCATGGAAGCTGCAGTGGAAGCTCAGAGAAGAGTAGAAGTTGAAGCTCAAAAGAGAAAGCATATTGAAACTATAGAAGAAAAGAAGAGGACGGCACCTTCTTTAGTAAAATCTGATATAAGGTACAGAAAGTACACAATTGAGGAGATTGAAGAAGCCACGGAAGATTTCTCTCCGAGTCGCAAGGTTGGAGAAGGAGGTTATGGCCCTGTTTACAAGGGATCACTAGATTATACTCAAGTGGCAATAAAAGTTCTAAGACCAGACGCAGCACAAGGAAGGTCACAGTTCCAGCAAGAGGTTGAAGTACTAACTTGTATGAGACATCCAAACATGGTTCTCTTACTTGGAGCCTGTCCAGAATACGGATGTTTAGTCTACGAATACATGGCAAATGGTAGCTTAGAAGACTGTCTGTTCAAAAGAGGAAACTCTACAATCCTCTCTTGGCAGCTAAGGTTTCAAATAGCTGCGGAAATCGCAACTGGTCTTCATTTCCTCCACCAAATGAAACCGGAGCCTTTGGTGCACCGCGACCTTAAACCAGGGAACATTTTACTCGACCAGCATTTTGTCAGCAAGATCTCTGATGTTGGCTTGGCCAGGCTAGTCCCTCCATCAGTTGCAGACACTGTAACTCAGTATAGAATGACTTCAACGGCTGGAACATTCTGTTACATTGATCCAGAGTATCAACAGACTGGCATGTTGGGGACTAAATCAGACATTTACTCATTTGGGATTATGCTTTTGCAAATACTTACAGCTAAACCACCAATGGGTTTGACTCATCAAGTTGAGAGAGCAATCGAAAAAGGAACTTTCACCAATATGTTAGACCCTGATGTGGGTGACTGGCCAATCGAAGATGCCTTGGTTGCGGCAAAACTTGCTTTACAATGTGCAGAATTAAGACGTAAAGACAGGCCTGACTTAGGGAATGTTGTATTGCCTGAGCTTAACAGACTCAAGAATCTTGCCGAAGAAAGCATGCCACACATAAACTTTGTTGGAAGCCAACAACCTTCACCGAGTAGGAACCGGAATAACAACAAAATCCAAAGTTCATATTCCACTACTTCACTACAGGTATGATTTGAATGTATTAAGACCCTTTTCCAGATTTTAAACATGCCTTGGTTAGTAAACTTTATTTTTCCCCTTTCAAGGAGATTATGAGTGATCCACAACTACAATATGGATCTGATAGTTCAAGTGTCCACAATAATTCTGCATCTTGAAGAGGATTATTTGAGTCAGAAAAAGTTCAAAGAAAGAACATGTATACATCTAAGAGACAAAAGAAGGCAAAATGTTTTTGGTCAAGATCAAAAATTAATGTTACCCATAGCGGTGTTATACCAAATATTTTAACAGAGTAATCTGTTTATATATATATATTGGGTTTTAGAGTTCTTATGATGTTAACACTAAACCCTTGTACATCTCAGAATCTTTACATATATTGATTTGCTAATATAAGAATATATATCGATTTGATTTCAGTGATCTATTCTTAGCCACACAGTAGCTTTGTTTCTTCTATCTCAGTAGACACTTTGGGTCTCCACAAAACTATTTTTAAATATGAAGAATCTCAGTATACAATTTCCTTCTCGATCTCGCATATTCTACGCGCTCAAAACACAAAAACAGATATGTTGGCATGTAAACTATACTTTACCGGTTTGGATCTCTAAACTATTCTAAGAGAATAGGCTGTTGACAAAAAAAAAATGCAGAATCATACAAAATCAAAATTTTGCATTTTCTTGTCCAAAAGTTTTGCGTTTCTAGTCAAAATTTACAAATGAAATCTCTAAACCAACTACTAAGCTGACCATGATTCATAAAATAAACAAATAAATTATAAAAATTGAGACTCTTACTGTTGATATTATAAACAAAAACGAGCTAATGAACGGATTATGATAATTGGTATTTTAATAAAAAAGCAAACTGAACTATTTAAATTTTAGTAGTCGGTTTAGAGAATTCAATTGTACACAATTATTTATTAATCTACTTTTATATTTTATAATTTGATATATGAATATATGAATATATATTATTAGTATGCTTAGTTTTAGTTTATTTGTGCTGTTTTATAGATGTCTTTGTTTTTTTTTTTTGCAAATTATAAATGTTGTCTTATTTTTTAGTGTTCTAAATATGTTGATGTATTGTGTAGTTATTTTCAAATATAAATTAACATATATTAATTGTTTTTTAAAAAATTCAAATTTATATGCTGCCATAAATATCTAAGTTCTTTAGTATTATATAGCAACCACTCAAGATTATTTCAAGAGAAAGAAGAGCAACCACTTAAGGTTACCTCAAGAGAAAGAAGAGCAGCCACTCAAAGTAACCTTCTCATGCAGAAGCTGAACAAGAAGTGGAGAGTCAAGGTGGAGATGGAAGAGTGCCAAGTAGAAAACATTCCTTCTATACACAATATGAAGGAATAAAATAATGAGAACCAATTAGGCTTTCCTCTCATCAGAAGAAGGAAGGACAGGCCTAACTCTAGCCACAAAATCAAGATAATGGAGGACCTTTCAAGATCCTCTTACACCTCAAAACACACCTTCTAAAATACAACAACTCTTTCCATTGTAAATACCATTTATTTTTAAGGTATCATGACTCTTTTCATTGTGAATACCATTCATCTTTTTTACTTTGTATATTTGTGTATCTTTGCACCTTTTTCTCAAGCTTTTGTTACACAAGAGACTGTGTAATTTAAATTTGGGGAAGAGCTTGTATATTTGACATTGTGTTTTGTTTTCTTAGTTTTCAATTTTCATACTTTGAGTCTCATGGATTCATCTATCTTTGCATAAAAAAACAAAAAAATTCAAAAATTAAAAAAATTTACAACTAAAAAACAAGAGCAATTAGGGCATGGCTGGTTTAGCTGCAACGACCCTTAAACCCAGCATTTACGGGTTGTAACAGTTGATAGCGTTTGACAACAATCACGGAAAATACTTTCAACCGCTTTGTACGGCTTTTTCCTCCTAAAAATCAAAAACTCCTTCTCACTAGCGCTTGCGGTTGTGGAAGGTTGCGGTTCGACTTTTAAAAAATACAAAATTATTTAAAATCAAAATATATAACATTTTCATAAAATAAAATTTAAATATTATAATTACAAAAAATATAAATAAATTTGATACTTTTTGAAGTAATATTGATGAAGTATTTTTATTCTAAAATTTATATTCATTAACTATTAATCATAATTTTCTATTTATAATTATATATATCTTCAAAAAATCATAATTTTATCTAAACTAAAAGATAAGAAATAAACGTAAGTATTATACAACTAATATTTTTAAGATTTTTAGTATTAATTATATTTAATTTATAATTTTATGTTTTTCATTAATAATATATTATTGTTTTGTTTTAAATATATTATATATTTATATTGTTATTTTGTTATGTATTCGCTTTTGCATCCTCTGGCCAACCAGTCAAAAATATTCCGCAAATACACTCGCACTCAATCACTATAGCAGTCGTACAAACCGCTTATTAACGCTGTTAATAGCAACCGTCCACTTTCGCAGACTCCCGTATCCACAACCGCAACCGCTGCATCTAAACCAGTCAAGCCCTTAGTTGCATTTGCATTTAAGACTGAGTCTAAATTGCATATCATTTAGGATGCATAGCATTTGCATAGGGTGTAGTGATGATAGTTCCTTGTAAAATGCCAAATGTTTGAAATTAGATCATTGCCCAAGTTCATAATATTTTGACTCATCTTGAACAAGTTAGAAGTTAAGGCTGAACCACACTAGGAACTCTCATTTAGACATTCATATCTTATGCTGAAGCTTGCTGTGATTTGAAACCAAGCTTGCTGTAATTTGATACAACTCTAATAACTTAAACCTTAAAATTGACTTAAAGTTATCTTGCTTGTGTTTTGAAAAGTGATTGCATGGCTACCGCATACATACCCGGACTTTCTTTCTCCTTCTACCACTCTTGCTAGTCCATGTAGTTGATCCTCATTTATAGGACAGTTAATCCCACATTGAACAAAACTTTCTTTGAAGCCTAAATAGTATCTTGTGTGTGTGAGACCTTATTATGAATGAACTTAGCAAAAAGTGTTGGGCTTAGCACTATAAGGGTGACCTTTCACGTAGATATGGATATTTTCTTTGAGCTATACATAGGTTAAGGATGGTTGATTTAGGTTTGGGACTTGGGTATTCCTTCATTTTCAAAGTGGAGAAGAGAAGAAGAAAGGAAATACAACAAGCTAACCATGTGTGGAACCAAAAGGATCTAAAACCAGGAAGCAAGGAAGAGGAGTTCTCAAACAACAAAGAAGAAAGGCAAAAACGCCTTGAGCATCTAAAGATGAAGCAGTTGGAGACTCCCTAAGCAACAAGGAAGAGCTGCAAAAAGAAGATTAAGGAAGACAACATCATGAAGAGAGCAATGAAGAGAAGCTTCCCTAAGAAATATCTAAGTTTGGGGTGTTAAGAAGGGACAAAAGCCTTAAGAAAAAGGTAGTTTATGATGGATTTTATGGAGTTTATCCTTCTATGCATAGGTTGTGCTTTACCCTTAGCATTTTGCCAAAGTTAATTTATTCAAGAGAGATCCCTTTTGCATTTGAAAACCCATTTTAAATGAGATCATTTTCATCTTATAGCCATGTCCTTGAACCAAATGCTTTCATTTTATATACATTAGCAAGATCCATTGATAACCTTAATTGAATGTTAGAGAGTTGGTTGATTTGAATGCAAATATAGGCCAAGTATTGAGTTGTGATGAGCATTGCTAGATTCTTTAAATTATAACGAGTTCTCTTTTGCATCCTAGAATTGACATCATGGACATTAATCTGATTTTTTTCATTGGCATTTTTGGATTTGAGCAACCACCTTAAAACCTCTCTCTTTTAATTGTCTTTGATTGCTTGAAGACAAACAAAATGCAAGTTTGGAGGACTTGATATACACTATATTTATACCGTTTTAGCATGTATTTATCATTAGTTTGTAGTCTCTAATAAGCTTGCATTTTTCACATGTTCTTGTCCCATTTGCATCCATTTAGGACTTAGAGTATGCTTAGGAGTTGTATTGCATTTTTGGTGCATTTGGAGTTTGTGGCAGGTGGAAATGAGATATTTGGAGGCTATGAGGAACTTTGGGGGTGATCAAGGAGTGAAGCCAAGGCAAAAGAAGGAGAAACCAAGGCGTTGGAGGCCATATTGAGGAGCGTACCCGGCAAGCCTGCCCGATATAGACCCATATCGACCTACATATCGGGTTGGCTTGCCTGATATAAAGTCCAGCATTTATACCGACGAACATATCAGGGAGGACCAAGTCGATACATGCATTCAAAGCAGCGTACCAAAGTGCATATTGGGGTGGTCAAACTGATACATATACAATAGGACATCCATACCGAGTGGAGGATCGAGCAATCCAGCTCGATACAACCATGAAGGCGAATGTGTCGAGCTGTGTATCGAGGAAGCTTTGCTTGATACAAAACACGAAGTCAGACATACAGAGCTGCATATTGGGGTGGAACAAGCCGATACAAATGATACAAGAGTTTTGACTCTCTTGGTCAATCACCCATTGTACTAGTCATTGTAGCATTGGGTTTTAATGTCAATCCAAAGGGGAAGATTGAGACAGCAGGATTATAGTAGATTTCCTAATTCAAGCAGATATAAAAGGGGTTTTAGATGTCTAGCAACCTAAGTGACCAAACAGCAATGAAGCAAACACAAAACTAAAGGAGGAAAGCAAGCAAAGCAACTAAAACAAAGGCAAAACATGGCAAATCTGAATTCAAGCTAAAAACAGAGAAAATATGGGACTTGAGATGAGATAATTGATGTTAGGGAACTTTTGACTCAATCTAAGATGCTTTCAAACTCACACAATGCTATTCCTTATGCATATGATTCATTTATATGACTAATCCAATCTCTTGGCATTAATCTCTATGCTAATTACCAAGTCAAGAACTAATTCTCATTAGTAAAATGATAAAGAGCAAGCATTAAGACAAATTTATCAACCCTATATTGCCAA